GGGTAGAGAGGGTTTAAAGGGGTAGTTCCCCTGCCCCTGCCGGGGCTTGGCAAGCAGGTGCTCAAAGGCACGCTGTCCTGCGTATTTTTAATCAGACCTGGCCCCAGGGACAAACTCTAGTGAGCCCATTAATTACACGTGGTGCTAGACCTCTCCAAAATCTCAGGTTCCTAATCTGCACAAGATTTACAAAACAATCCCTGACTCTTTTCAGCACAGCGACACCCTCCACTCTGCCATCTGAGGATGCAGCGCTACGCAGGGCCACCAGAGGTCTTCTGACAAGTCCCTCACACACACACCCTCCTCAACGATCGTATGCACTGAGCAAAAAATCCTATAACTTGCCTGGCTTTATTGGCGTGCCAGAATGCCAGGGCGCCTGCAATTCTCTTTCCTGAGCCGCCTGGATGGACAGAATGGAAATGTAGTCGTCTCTTCCCTGACCACTGTATTTATTCAGTAAGGAGGAGCTCCTTTTGTTAGCCACAGCCAAGCTCCCAGGGCTCAGTCGCTGTCTCTCAGTTTCACTTTCTATGCTAGGAAGCGAGGGAGAAATAAGTTTCGTTTCTCACAAAACCTCCTGCTGGGAGCTGTTCTCCCAACGGTCCAATAAAAAAAGAAGACGCGCGAATTCTGACAATACAAATGTGAGGTGACAATAAGGCACGCTGAAACAAAGACTTTGAGAAGCATAGCGTTAAAACATTAAAGCAAAGTTATTGTTTACTTGGCTGTTGATATTGCTTACTTTTGACACTTTGGGGAAATCTTTGAGGTCTGTCTTTAACTGCATAACTGGATTTACAGCAAAGATAACTGGGAATTTTACACATTTATAACAAGAAGTAAAAATATTCTTCAAAATAAGATCTTCCATGAAGAAAGGCTGAAACGTTTGGAGGAGAAAAGAAAGTACATTAGAAGCAGGGCTAGGGTTGCCAGCTCTGGTTTGGGAAATTCCTGGAAATTTGGAGGGTGGGGCCTGGGGAAGGCAGGGTTTTGGAAGGGAGGGACCTCAGCAGGATACAATACCATAGAGCCCAGCTTCATTGAGGTGGCTGCTGTGATGGGGAAAACCCAGCGGGGAGTCAGAGTTGTGGGACCCCCCCCCCCCAAGCAAGGGATGCAGGGAGGTGGATTGGAATTGTCCATTGAGCTGACCTGAGGGAAGCGGGTGGTGCCCTCCCTCCCCATATCTGAGGGCATGGGAATGTCGGGGTAGCGGCATGAAAATGGCAGAAAGTGGGCCAGCCGTGGGGGGGGGGAATGTGGGGGCCACACTCTTGAAGCATTAGAAGACTAACTTTTTGATCAAGGAAGAGATCCAGGAATTTATGAAACAACCCCAAGACAAATGGGCAGAAAGCAGGAAAACTAGCCTTCTGTAAAGGAACAGGCTTTGTAGAGGAGAATCAGCATGGGTTCTGCACATGCTAGGGATGCCAGCCTCCATGTGGGACCTGGGGATCCTCCCATGTTACAATTCATCTACAGATGTCAGTTCCCCTAGATGAAATGGATGCTTTGGGGGGGGCTCTCTGGCATTGTACTCCACTGAGGTCCCTGTCCTCCCCAGGCTCCATCCCCAAATCTCCAGATGTTTCCCAACTTGGATCTTGCAACCTCACCTCCCCGTCCCCCACAGGTGGCCAGGGGGGAACCAGGCAACCCTAGCTCATGTTCTTCTGATGAACCTTTCACAGCTCTGAGAGCGCTACAGACATGTTGGAAGGAGTGGTTTGGCAGACATTAAATTCTTGGACTTTGGGGAAACTCCCAGCAATTTTTATTATAGACCAGAGTCACTTATTTAATAAGCAGTATAACCTTATGTATTTCCTTAGTTTTATCTAATATGGTGTAACTGGCCTCTTGGGCCCTGAACCCAGGGTGGTCTTTCCAGAGAGAGAGACACCCCAAAACAACCTCTGAACCTCCTGAAGCTGTGCCCTCATGAAGCCAGGCTTGGCTTGCTGGGGGACTAAGAGAACCTCATTTCAAGCTGCACTGTCAGAACATCCTCCATGCAGGCAATCCCCCCTCTTCTGTTCTGTCAGCTCAGTCCAAAAGGACTAGAATGGGCAAGTCTCTGCCCTCGCCTCAGGCATCTTTTACTGACTTCTTCTGTATGCCAACTATACAGGCAGTCAGGGACAAAGAGCCTCTGGTCTGTGCTATTGTCATGAATAAAGTAAGTTGCATGGTTCCAGCTGCCAACTCCTGTTTCACTTGTATGTAGGGTTGCCAAGTCAATTTTTCTTACCGGCGGGGGAGCCTCGTTGGGCTCTGGGAGCCGTCCGTCGATGTGTGCGTGGGCACACCGCCAGCACGTCACCGGAAGTGATGTGCGACGTCGATCACATTGAGGGCGTGGCCCTGATCGTCGGAGGGAAAACTCTATGGTTTTCCCTCCGACGATCAGGGCCATGCCCCCAATGTGGTAGCCACGCTGCGCTTCGGGGGGCGGAGTTCCCCCCAGGGCCCAATTCCGCGGTGGCGGAAATCGGGCCTCCGAAGCGGGGGTTTACCCACCCCCTGCTCCCACTTGGCAGCCCTACTTGTATGTCAGGAAATATCTTCAGAATAATCCTCTCATTCCTGTCTCCATATATTTGTCTAAAATATCTGCATTCTGATACCTCTGCCAGACCTATGAGGGTAAACATTAACTCTTCACGTCCAGTGAATGTCACCCGTTCAGGTTCATCCTGCCACACATTAAGCAACCTCACCTCCATTGTCTGGCACCAGGGAAACGCAAGACCACCCTATTGTTCCACAATGGACACTCTCAGCCCAACCATCCAGCACCTGGCTAATCTCATCAACGCTATTGCAAATCCACACTCTGCCCCTCTGGGACTTCATTGGTCACACCTAGGTTTTACTCCTTCTGGTGTTACACACCCTGGGGACCCTTATTGGTCCAGGTAATCTTTTGTCTTCACCTGAGACAAGCCCCTCAAGGCCTCCCATTGGCCTGCATTGTTTTCCCATGTCTGTATCCACTAAAGCACATAGTCTCGACTGTGTGTCACTCTGAGGCAGCCTACAGTAGAGATACACCCTCAAACCTCACAGTTTGGGTCCCTTCCCATTCTAGTAATGGACCCCTGCATGTCTGGATAGGTATAGTATTACCCCAATCTCTCCACCCCTCTATCTGTCTGCTAACTTCTTTTTGTTTCTTCTTGTACACTTGCAATCCTTTTTTAAAAAATTAAATTTCTAGACTACAAACTAAAGGGAAAGGGTAGGGGGAACTTGCAATCCTTGATTTGAATGTAAATACCTAAATTATTATTTTTCCTAATAAAACCCATTTCTCTTCACCATTTGGACTGGCTAGGGACTCATCCAAGGGTCTCAGGGACTAAACAATGATAGCAGATCCGTGCTTATTACTCCACCTCTTGCGGAGGCCTATCATTTTACTAATTTTCCCCAGAAACTAAAATAGCTATTCAGCTTTTTAAATCAAAGCTGGTAAGAGTAACAATGGGTGCACTTAGCAACAACTGATGCTTATCTGTGCAGTCACACATGAGAACTGTGATATGGTTGTCATCATCCAGGTGGGTCAGGAGATCTCTCAGAATTACAACTGATCTCCAAGCTATAACCATCAGTCCCCTGGAGAAAACAGCTGCTTTGTAGGGTGAACTCTATGGCATATCCCATTGAGGTCCCTCCCCAAACTCCACCCTCCCCAAGCGCCACCCACAAATCTCCAGGAAGTTCCCAATCCAGAGTTGACAGTCATATGACTAGGCCTGCTATGGACCCTTCCACAGCTTTAGCTGAGCATGAAGCACTCCCACTCTGTATCATGAGCAGAGGTCGATTCGGGGGGGATCGGGGGGGATCGCAGTTCCCCCGGGTGAGGGGTGGGGGGCGGGCCACATGACGAAGCCCCGCCCCCTGCTTCCGGCCGCCCCGCTTCCAGCCCTCATTCAGCCAGGAGGAGGCAGGAGAAGAGGGAGGGTAAGTTGCTTCCTCCCCGCCTCTCCCCACCCCTGCCTGCCTGGGGCCAGAGAGAGCCTTGGCGGGGCTTCCTCGCACTCCCGCCGGCCTTGCAGGTCCACCCCCGGCCCCTGATGTCAGGGGGTGTGGCATATGCTAATGAGTTATGCTAATGAGTTCCCCTAGCTCTTTTTCTATGAAACGACCCCTGATCATGAGAATACCCAAATGTAGGATACAAACTCCCAATCCCAGAACCAAGTCAGAACATGGCTATGGAACTAAAGCTCTGATGCCATAGCTGAGAAAAAGTAAGATTTCCAGCTGAAGAAAGAGGCCTACAGGTTAAGTAGATAGGGTTGCCAACTCCAGGTTGAAAATTCCTGGAGACTTGAGGGTTGGGCTTGTGGGGGGGGGACCTCCACAGGGTATATCAGCACAGCACAGAGTCCACTGTACAACACAGCTGCTTTCTCCAGGGGAATGGATCTGTTGTAATTCCAGAAGATCTCCAGGGCAACTGCTTTTATATCTAAGTCAACTTACTCAAAATAAAATAAATCAGATGAAAGTAAAAATAAATCAGATAAGTATGTAGATCAATTGATTTTATTTATTGATTCTTGGAATACAAAATTTCAGGATAATATTTTTTTTTTTACTTTGTTATGAAGTTTTTGACTTTGTTATGAAGAATATTGTCCGTGGAGATAAACCCTTTAATTATAATGTATACCATTAAAAATAATCTTAGAAAGAAAGAGCAAGGGTTAAAATATCATGATAAAAACAAAAATATGGTCCAGATCTGCAAGATGCTGAAACAAATGTTAAATCCCCCTGAAAATTACTTGATGAAACCAATACAGGTGTTTTGTTTTTTAAAAGCTGATTTATAAAAAATCGAATGGATAGCAACAAAGATGCAATGACCTCATTGAAGAAAGATCAAGGATTAAAAAATGGAAGTCAAGAAAAATGTGCTGAGTGCCCCCAACCAGGTATATATTTCTACCTGTTTGATTGGGGGGGGGGGTTTGGCATTGAGGCAAGCGGGATGAAGAGGCCCAAGAACCATGGATCAGAGGCCAATTGGCCTGTGGTCTGAGGAGACAGTGAAGGTCTGAATGTTATACACACACATGAAATTAACAGTTGTATGTGTGGGTGTAGGATTCTTAACATCGGACAATGTCATTTTGCAGGAACATTTATACTTTATCCAGTTTTGCTTTGTAGTTTTTTTCCAGTTGTTTAAAAGCCAGCACAAGATTGTCATTCTCATCTTCACACAGTTCACACAGAGAAGCCCTGTAAGTTGAAACAAAGCAAAACTATAATATATACAGCACACTTTGGGTGTATATAAAATTCACTGGTAATAATGTTGTATTTATATCATACTCTATTGCTTTGATGGTGAGTAAAAAATCCCGAAGCATGTTGTAGGCGTCTCCTCTATTTAATCTGGGAGGGGAAAAAATCACAATAGCATTTATTCCAGACTAAATGATGCACATATCTATCTTTATTCAGTAGCAGTTACAACTGCTGGTTGTAGTAACACATGATTTCCCACAAGAACAAAAATCTAAAAAATATATGCAGAATTTAGGTTGCTGTAAATCTCACTGTTGCAACCACATTCCAAAGAACATTCATAGCCAGTCTTTACAAGCAAATATGAAAAAGGATCAAATGTCCCCAACCACCAAAAATAATAGTGTGACACCAATAATATTGTTTGGGCATATGCACAGCTCCCGTTGCTTGCAGAAAGATTGGTTTAGGACTGACATATAGCAAGCAGAGAGATGTTATAGCTATTCTGCACTGGTTATGCCCAATGCTGTCTTTTGCTACATTAGACGAATCACACCCTGGATTGCTTGGTGTTCTCCTAGGATGCTTGGTGTTGTCCTGAAAATTAACCATTGATTTTTAAAACTTGGTTGTGAGACTGGCATGAAAGGGATGAATCTAGGGATTTGTAATAATACACAGTATTAGAATATGAAGATTAGTATAGTGTGTTTTGTAACCATATCTAGACAAGATACTTATGTAGTGTTTACATTTCATCATGATGAATTTAAACCCTCCCCCCCACTCCGAGTTACCCGTTGTCTTCGAGCAGTGTATTCAAGGAGCCATGCTTATAGAAATCAAGGGCATAAGCATTGAGTGGCATTTTTCTTCCAATATTATCATATTTCTCAATCCAAAGCACAGGAGCATTACTAGCATCAACACCAACAGTCCTTAATACAGCCTGGAAAACACAACCATTGAACAATATTGATAGTATTTCACATTCGGGTGTCTGTGTATGTGTTGCCTTCTGTAGTGCTCTTCATATACGAATGAAAAATGGGTGAAAAGAATATGCATGGATTTCCATTTCATGACATGGCAACTCCATTTATAACAGTGTGCTTCAAAGAATATTCATAGTATGGAAAATTTCAGAAGCTGCCTATGCAGACCTGAGAAATCTGCAGATATATTTTGCTTGCCACATTGTTCTTACAGAAGTGAAAGCCAGCTAACCAATTAGTGCAAAGCATATTGTAAGAATTGCTGTTTCTACTCACTGTGGTTTCATTGGCCAAGTGTGCATTATGCCTAGTATAAACATTAAAACTGAGGTGCAATAGAATATATTATTTTTCACTACTCTAGACTACAGAATGACATAATCTGGGGCACTTCAGTTAAATTTTAAAGTATGAAATTACCATTCCCTGGGATTTGGTCTGAATGGCTATGAATACAAATTTATAAGACCAAACAGAAAGAAGTCTGCATCTTCTATGAACCAGCCAACAAACAATAATGAAACATTAGTTGCTATAGATTTTCCAGGATGTGTGGCCGTGGTCTTGGCATTGTAGAACCTGACGTTTCACCAGTAACTGTGACTGGCATCCTCAGAGGTATAAACACAGAAAGATGGAATACTCTGGTCCCTGCCACACGGCAGAATAAAAAACGGGCGAAGTGCGGCTAATCAGAGCCGCACCAAAATAGAGACGCCGCGGCAGGATCCCACGGATTCCCTGAGCCGCGGTGCCATTGCTCCCCGGCACGATCAGATGCCGGGGAGGAAGCCACGGTCGGGAGGGGGAGGCTGCCGAACTGTGCATGTGTGAGCATGCACAGTTCGGCCAGGAGCCGGGGATGCGCCGGCGGAAGGACGCGCCATTGATCCCACGGCCGGCCTTAATGTGGCCTTGCCGGAAGAACCACCTCGGTAGGTGGTTTATTTTTGCTGCGGTGTTTTGGGCGGAAGGGCCGGATCGGAGACGGGTGCGCAACACTTCCCAGATGTTGCGGTGGGATTGCGCACATTTGCTGCGTCCCCGATCCATCCCTTTCCCGGCCAAAAACCTCTTGTGTGACCGGGGCCTCTGTATGTCAAGAAAGATGGAATACTCTCTGTGACACAGTGTCACGGGCAGGCATGACACACAGAGAGTATTCCATCTTTCTGTGTTTATACCTCTGAGGATGCCAGTCACAGTTACTGGCGAAACGTCAGGTTCTACAATGCCAAGACCACGGCCACACATCCCAGAAAATCTACAGCAACTAATGAACTCCGACCGTGAAAGCCTTCGACAACATAATATTGAAACAGCTGGTAACAGTCTGGTAATCTGTGTATGCTGATGAAGAAAGGTGTCTAACTAATGCAACTGTTCTGTATCTACAATAGAATAGAAGGATGCCATCCTAATATTAGATAGTCAAGAGTTTCTACTAAAAAAAATTACCTTGTTGACATTGTGAATTCTGAACAAATCTTGGTCCACCATTCCAGACAGGCATGCAAAAGGTGAGATTGCAGTTATTCTTTTAGTGCTCTTAATTAAATGAGATGCCAGATCAGAATCTTCATAGGTTCTACCTGCAAAATCTTTAAAGAATGATTTGGAAGCGTGTGTGTGCCCAGATTCTCTTAATTTATCATTTGTAGCCTGCCTTTCCTCACAAAATGTAGTAGAATCTCAAATAAGGAAGTCTTATTTTTATTGCTGGCCTTGGAAACTCTACTTCTTACCCCTAAACCTGAACACTTTATGCCCGATTTCAATGTTAGTACCATGTCTTTTCTACAATTTCTTCTCACCACTCCACTAAAAATCAGTGGTTTAATTAGGGTTTCCAATCTCCAGGTGAGGCCTGGAATTCTCCCAGAATTACAGCTGATCTCGACTACAGAGATCAGTTCTTCTGGAAGAAACAGCAGCTTTGGAGGACAGAGGCAGTGGCATTACATCCCCACTAAGCTCCCTTCCCTCCCCAAACTCTGCCCTCCTCAGTCACCATCTCCAGGTCTCCAGGAATTTCCCAAGCCAGAGTTGGTCGTGGCTTTCAAGCTTCCTGTTCTCAGGGATCCTTTCCAATTCATTTTGTATGTTGAATAACCCAATGCATGTTTATCATAAAATCCCATCATGTTGCAGGGGGTTTAGACTTACCCTTTAAAACTATGTTTTCTCAAGTGTGCACCCTCATTTTTGTGGGGGTCAGGCATGTCAGACTGTCCTATTTCCACAGTATTATGTGTGGCCATTTCCTGTAGTAGCATAATGTAGCGAGAGACTGATACTGGTGGGAAAGCTATCTTCCAGAGAAGCTTGTCCTGCCAATATTGATCTTCTCATAGAAATCCTTTGAAAATTTCTGAGGAAATCCAGGTTCCCTCAGAACACAGTGTGGAAAGTAGTGATATGGATGAACCTCATGAGTGAGGAAGAGAGGGACCTCAAGATTTCTCCCACCATGAGGGTGAACTCTATGGTGTTACATGCCTGTCTAGTTCCCTTCCTTCTCTGGTCTTCCCAATCTTGTCTTCCCAAGGCTTGTCTTGTCTTATCTTGTCTTCCCAAGGCACTACCTCCAAATTTCCAGCAGTTTTTGAAGCCAGAGTTGGTTACCCTAGTAGTAGTATGTTGGATTCCATATGGAAATACTTGAATTTAAAATCCCACTAAAAAAAACTATCAGTTGCTAGCTGTATCTCCTGGTTTAATTTCAAAGTAGGCCCGGGAAAATCTGGGTTTAACTCTTTACTCAGCCATGAGACAACTACTGGGTGAACCTGAGTTAGGCATACTCTCTCAAGCCTAAACTACTTCACAGCATTACTCTCTCTCCACACACTCACCCACACCCACATATATACACACCATCCTGAGGTCCTTGGCAGTAGGATGGGATAAAAATAATAGATTCCACTACAAAACCACATAACTGGGGCAGCAAAATTTACTAGTGCAGTGGTCTTTAAGTTTTCCAGACCCAGGATCCACCTTTAACCCCCAACACTGAATGGCACATGACCCTAAGTAAAATAACATCAGTTACAGTGACAGGAGGAGGAGGAGTTCTGCCTTTGCTAGAAAGGAATCCTCTCCACCACTAAATGACCTAACCTCGCTGTCCTGCTGATCCTCTCAGCTTGCTCACAAAGAGAGACATCTTTGCTCTTTATGTCTGAGGAACAGTAGTAAATCCTTCCAAAAAGTAGCAAAACAAATAGTGGATATTTGGGGACTCACAGCCCACTTGAGGGTCCTGACCCATGTTGTGAAGATCACTGTACTACTGTGATATCCTTCATCAATCACCTGTTCTTAACTCTCCACTTAAAAAATAGGACCTAGTTCAGCGGCATTTATTTATTCAGCGGCATCATGAACAGCTTCCTCATTACAAATAACCTCATTTAAGTACCAGTCTCCACACTCCAGATTACATATCTATCACCCGTTTGTGGTAGGCATAAATTAGAGAACTTCTACTACAAACAGAAAATGTATTTATTATTTATTAAGGAATAATCCACACAGGTCATACCTGCATGCATGTGTGCTGCTTATCCACCATGAAGTTCACTGGGTGACCCTGGGTCAGTCACTCTCACTCAGCCTATCACAAGATCTTTGTGGATAAAATGGAAGAGGGTAGACCATGTACACTGCCCTGAACTCTTTGGAAGAGGCAGGGACCGGGTAAAAATGATAGATAAATGTACGATTGCATTACCTAGTTTTGACAATGGAAGGTGGTATTCTTGTTCCATGTCAGCCAGTTTGGCAGCAGTGAGAAGAAAACATCCAAAGTTATTTTCTACTTTACTGTTATATGCTTTTACTGCAGCAGCAAATTCTTCAGGAAGATCCTCCAGAAACACCTGCAATAACAAACAAAAAAACCTATGTACTTTAGGAATTTTAGTACACTAATTAAACCTGGGTAGCTGATGGTACACCATACTGCATATTATATGGCTTCTTCTAGGGACTGATAAGTTTCTCCATGAGTCAGTTTCGGGTTCCCCCTCCTGGACTCAGATTGTTATGTTCTGAGTTATTTCTAAGCTGTTTGGTTATGGTTTATGCTAAGGTATCCTAGCCTCCTCTGTTGTGATTGGCTGCATAATAAAGACCTTATAGTGGTCCTAAAGCCATACAGAGTATCCTATCAGAAAGATCCGCATAGATCCAATCAGACCTCATGAAAGTAGTTACATTGTATACAGTTTGGAACAGTATAAGTTTGGATGCCGCTCTTCGCAGAGTCAGATTAGAGCTGAGTAATGTTCTGAATAAAAGCCTTGTATTGATCATTGTCTCCTGCGTTTCAATACCTAAAACAGATCATCTAAGAGATCACTGGGGCCTAATTTGCATTGGAACCACAACACAGGGTGAGGAGAGTCTTCAGCCTCCCCCCACATCATTTTCCCCAAACAAAATGTCCCTGATGAGACTATACACAGAGAATCCCAGCCTACCCCATAGACTTCTAGGCATCTTTCTTATGGTGATATACATGTAAATTGGAGCTGGGAGGTAAAAATTGGCACTAAAAGCTCAGCTATATTATAGATTTTCTTTTTTTTAGACAAGTAAATAGCCCATATTTTCAAAGGTGCATAAGTATGACTAAACACAGGTACCATTTGCTCTAGGGTGCCAACCTCCAGGTGGGGCCTGAAGGTCTCCCAGAGTTACAACTGATCTCCAGACTACAAAGATCCTTTCCCCTGGAGAAAATGGCTGCTTTTGAGGGTGGACTCTATAGTGTTATACCCCACTGAGGTCCCTCCCCTCCCCAAACCCTGCCTCCTCAGCCTCTACCCCCCCCAAATTCCTGGAATTTCCCAGCCTTGGATTGGCGACATTATACATACCCAGAGGTGTGTGGAGTATTAATACAACTATCAATGTGACATCATGAAGCCCCATGCACTGACATTGCTGGGTCCCCAACATGTGACATCATCACATGCATCCCTGCCCAATGAATCTGAGCATTTAGGATAATGAGGACTAGGCAACCCAACTCCCCATTGTTCCCATACCCCTTTACTATGACATTTCTGGATCTGTCGAAGAGAACCATCAAGATGTACAGGTGTCTACCAAATGTACTTGTGGAAGCATGGGTTTTAGTGACAGAGTCCCTGGATGATCTCAGCATGTGGGCAGGAAGATATGGGAGATGCAGTCCTTCAGATCCAGGCCATTCAGGGATTTAGATGTAAAAAACAGCACTTTGAATTGAGCCAAGAAACAGCCTGGGAGTCGACATAGTCTACCATGCTCATTTTGGAAAGCCTCAGTTAACATTCTGGTTGCCACATTCAGAAGGTGCTGAAGTTTCCCAGCTCCACATTGAACACATTACTGTAGTACAATATGAGTCTTAGGGTGCGTTCAAACGGGGCATTTATACTGGTATAAACTGCTGCGGTTCCAACCGGTGCAATTTGATCTGGAAGAAACACGATCACACTCACCTCCTGACTGTGCAGCACATCGCGATATGCCCGTTCACACTACCGACACGCAGCAGCACGCGTAGGCGGTTTTTTTTATTTTTTTGCATTTTGCACATGCGCATAGGCAGCCATCCACAGAGTTCAGATCTTTGTGCAGGCGCAGAACACCCCATCCCGAAAAGTGTGCCCTGAAGCGAAGACTTCCCTTTAAACTTTTACAGCGAAAAGGGCCTCCATGAGGTCCCGGACTCATCCGCAGCCTAAAACTAAGCATATTTTTTTAAAAAACAAAAACAAAAAACGCCGGGGCGAAGCTTCGCCCAAGCGCACATCGAGGAGGCTTTAAAAAAATGATGGCCAAAAAGCGGAAGCCTCAGGCTTCTGAATGGAAGTGGCTCTACACCCGCGGAGAGCCATCAGACGGGGATAATGCAGTTGGAACCGGTTCACTCAGGATACCACCACTTGGGGACCTAGTAGCAGAATACAATGGTTAAAGGCTGTTTGCAACGGTTAGGGATGGAAGGCAGATGTTCGCCGTGTGATCGCCCGTAAGTACACCAATTCCAACCGGCATCTATACCGGCATAAATGCCCCATCTGAACGCACCCTTACTGAGGCATGTGCAACAGTGGCCAGGTCTAATTTTGGCAAGAAGGGCTGCAGCTGGCATATAGCCGAAGCCAGTTAAAAGGGCTTCTTGGCACCTCCACCATCTGTTTAAGGCACATCCTCAAGCTGTAAACTTGCTGTTTCAGGAAGAATACAACCCCCTCCAGAACAGGCTGTATACCTGTACACAGATCAGCATTATATGCCATCCACAGCACATCCATTTTATCTGGAACAAATTTCAATTTGTTCACCTGCAAATGAATGAATGGAATGCTGGAGCTGTGTGTCATCCACATACATTGGGATAATATAACATAGCCCTTGCTATTAGGAAATAACTTTTCTACCTTTACCTTTGACTGGGAAAATGTTTTCTTATATTTTATGTAGCAGGCTGGTAGATGTCTCCTTCCAAAGAGGTGTGCAAGCACCAGCACTAATTTTTCCATTACATCTTCAGAAAATATAGGTGACCCTAAGTAACAAAGAATGAAATATCTGCTTGATATGTTCACTAAGTCAAATAAATTTAAACTTTACAGCCTCAGTCCAGAGCACCATACTTTATGTGTGCAGTCCCTTCAAGTCCCTTCTTTCCAAAAACAATCAGCTACCTCATCTGGGCTGCATTCATATGTCACTTTTAATTTACTTTAGGCCTGATTGTTGGATGAACCTGGGATATTGACAGGCTTTCTCCTTGCTCATCACAGTCTATGGGGGGAGGGAACAATCAGGACTCAAATATGGCCACCCTTGAAAGTGTGGCTGTGTTGGCAGTCCAGGCAGAAACCAACATACTGAACTCCAATCCTATTGTGCTGATGATATGGCTCACCAGTAGAAGGCAATATCCCCTGGGGGATAGCAAGAAGTTGCCAGAGCAACCAAAGGCCATACCCTTTATGTCCTCAGTTGCTTCTCCCATGTTTATTGTTTTACGGAAATTGTGTTATAATGAGTAAGCTCCCTTGAGGGCTTTTTGAGCCAAAGAGAGAATAAACCAAACCATAAACCCAACAAACCTCCACACCATTCAGCAGGGGATTCAGGCAGCCAGCTACTGGCACAGGGATGGCTCCCACTGGCCTCAAACAGAGCTAGGGCCACTCCTTTCTTGGCCGTGTGAGGCTGGCCAGGAGGGACAGTAGTTGTTCTGGGGTCTCATCTAGACTTTTGCCCAGGAACACAGAATTGTGAAGACCATCCTGACTATGTCTCAATCATGGTTTGTCCATGAGAGAGTTGCATGAAGGTGTGTATGTCTCTGGAGAATATGAGAGAAGGGAAGCTAGACAAGAGAGAGAGAAATGAAAGATAATGCAAGAAGGAGGCTCATGTATCTGAGTGGGAGGGTTATTCTGGAAAGCTGGACAAGAAGAATGTGGAGAAGAGTTGGATTTATACCCCACCCTTCACTTGGAATCTCATTGTGGTTTATAATCTCCTTCCCTTCCTCTCCCCACAACAGACACCCTGTGAGGTAGGTGGGGCTGAGAGAGCGCTGAGAGAACTTGCTCTTGAGAGAACAGCTCTGAGAGAACTGTGACTGGCGCAAGGTCGCCCAGCTGGCTGCATGTGGAGGAGTGAGGAATCAAACCCGGTGCTGACAGGAGCCAGTGAATCAGGGGATCTGGAGAGGGATGTTAAGAGAGACAAAGCGAGGCTCCAAGGCAGGAGCTAAGAGCCATGTCAGAGCAACTGGAGTAAAGAATGTACAGGCCATAGTGAGAGACAAAGAGACAGATTAAGAAAAGGGAGAAGTTAGGTCATAGCTACCAATCCTGAAGAATGAGGGCTGTGTTCTTAGTGGAAGAAGTAGGTTAGATTGAAAAACCTGAGCTTTTTACATGGCTACAATCCCAGACCTTATATACCTAAATCCCATCTAGGGAGTGGGTCCTGTGATCATTCTTGGAGTCAGATTAAATTATTTTATTTGCTAGTTTCCTTGACTAATATTTGTTTGTGGCAAAAACTAACTGATGCCTGAGATTGTGCTGATAATCCTGGGTAATTTAAAAACAGTGATTGAATATTTGCTTACGGATGTGTTAGACTCAGGATATGAGTTTTTGCCCTTACAATTAACTGAAAATGAAGACTAGTTTGTTCTCTGTTGATGTGTTATACATTGTTTTAATTTTCTTAATATTTTTCCTTTGTTGTCACAAACACTGGTCATTGTTTATGACTGGAATCTGAAACAATTTTAGCAAGCCAAGATAGTTTGCTTTTAAGAAAAGGGAGAAGTTAGGTCATAGCTACCAATCTTGAAGAATGAGGGCTGTCTTCTTAGTGGCAGAAGTAGGTTAGATCGAAAAACCTCAGCTTTTTACATGGCTACAATCCCAGATCTTATATACCTAAATCCCATCTAGGAAGTGGGTCCTGTGATCATTCTTGGAGTCAGATTAAATTATTTTATTTGCTAGTTTCCTTGACTAATATTTGTTTGTGGCAAAAACTAACTGATGCCTGAGATTGTGCTGATAATCCTGGGTAATTTAAAAACAGTGATTGAATATTTGCTTACGGATGTGTTAGACTCAGGATATGAGTTTTTGCCCTTACAATTAACTGAAAATGAAGACTAGTTTGTTCTCTGTTGATGTGTTATACATTGTTTTAATTTTCTTAATATTTTTCCTTTGTTGTCACAAACACTGGTCATTGTTTATGACTGGAATCTGAAACAATTTTAGCAAGCCAAGATAGTTTGCTTTTAGGACAAGCTTCCTTGCAAAGGGTATGTAGAAACCTCATTTTGCATTTTAACAAATTTAGGATTTTATTTCCTGAGTCTGATCAAGCTGCTTCTTCCTTTTGGCCTTTTGACATCTCTTAATTGGGTATGAAAGCAAGGGGAGGGGCTTTTAACTCTCCCTTTTTATTTTCTGGGGCAGCCTAAGTCTCTACTGTAGGGATACTGCAGCAGAGTATTTCCCATTCCTACCCTAGCAAAGTGGTCCAGAAGTATATATGATAGTTTTAAATAACACTGGCAGGATCAGAAGAATTAACAGGAATACATCCCCCTGCATATCTCCTAGCATAGGGCACAAACTAAGGTGACCAAAATAGTTGCAGCAAAGAAACAAAATTAAAAGCTTTCATATTGGTTCGTGAAGATAATCCAATTCAAAACCCTGGTGCTAGCAGAATAACCTAAAGATGGAGGTGAGTCAACTGGGTGATGTGTTTGGTGAAGACTTGAGTGGTTTAAAAAAGAACTAATAGAAGAGTCATGTATTGATAGCGGTACAGGGCATATGCAAACTTCAGGTATGTCTCTGTCAAGATGAGTGAACAGAGAAGCTGTTCTGATACAGTGTCTCTGCAATGGCTGTTGGAGTTTCCGCTCAGAATTGCCTTTCTCACAAATTTGATGTGGATATTGTCTTTCATTCACTGATCTTGCACATAACAGAAAGGTCAAAGTAGACAACCAAAAATGTTTGTGTCCGCAGTATCTGCTTATATCTCCAGAAAATGTCAGATTGCCTGAAGAATCTTGGGACGCTTTTTCTGAGTCCCTGAACCTTGACAAGGTGATCGATGTGTCACTTATTTTGTGAATAAGATCAATAGTATAGCCAGGGAGAATAGTTTGGAAAACCTATTTGTCTGCTGTGAAGGTTCTCCATATTGAGTCAAAATGGCTTCCAACTGGTCCAGACGTCAGGGAGGTGTTGAATAAGGGGCTTGAGGTGAATTGGATCCAGACTGAAATCTGTGATAGTTTAGGATTAGTAAATTTTACTTTACTCCATAACATTCAATGCTGAGAACAGAATCAGCCTTTATATTTTTGATCAGCTCTATTCTGAAGTCTGAGTAATACGAGAATGTAATAGAGACCAGCAGCTGGCTTACAATATACATTTACCATATGAGTATGGTATATTCCATCTGTTTATTTCATAATACTTTGACAAAGTTTATGTAATGTTTGTTGGGTAAATTGAAGAATAACTTACCTTTCATAATTGGCTGGCATAACTTGTGCAGTAAACCTTTGGTGAGAAAGTCAACCAGGGCAAAATTTGAAGGTTCATGATAGTGAAGATGACTGACAAGTCCAGCATACCCTATAGGCTTACCTTCTTGGTCCAAATAGCCCTGAGCAAGAAAGTGTTTGGTTTTAGCATTTTATAAAGTACTTTGGTCCTATAAAATAACTACCTAAAAGGACAAAGGTTGGTCCTAATATATAGAATTACCTCCTTGAGAAGAAATTGGAAGGAAAAGATAAAGTATATTTTCAACATGTCCTTGTTCCTTTGCTGACTGAATGATAACAGTGAATGGTTCAACACTGACAATACCTAGATTTTGACAAACAAAAAAATAATTTTAAATATTTTAAAACAATTAAAATATTAAAGCACACTTGCAAATTATCTTTAACATTTTCAAAAGAGCACTATTATTTATGCGTATCTATAAAATGGCCATGTGTGGTATATGTTCTCATGTCTGCATTTAGTCTGAGATTTTTGATGTCATATAAATTTGGAGAATGTTTTAATTTTTTATTTATTTACATTTATACCCCATCTTTCTTCCCAATGGGTCCCTGAAGTAGCAGACATCATTCTCGTCTCCTCCATTTTATCCTCAGAACAACCCTGTCAGATAGATTATGCCGAGTCGACTGGCCTAAGGTGACCCAGCAAGTCTCCATGGCACAGTGAGGGTTTGCATTTGGGTCTCCCAGATCCTAGTCTGACACTCTAACAAATGAAACACTCAAAAGGTATAGTCTATGTAAAGGCTGCTGTCATTTCCTCCATACCGGGGAGTCTCATGCACAGTAACTGTAATTCAAATAGGTCGATCAGGTCTCTTTCCTGTATCTAACCCCTCTACCCCTCCTTCTATTGGAAGAGCAGCATCCTTTCACTCCACCTTGTACTCCCTCTAATGAAATCAAAAGCACTAAATGGCATTTCTCTACATTTTCCCTGCCTTCCATCAATCCTACTTTTGTTTTCCATTGTGCTCATTTCCTATAACTGAGTGTCAAAGTACATGAGCCAACACAAACACATGCTTACTTACACATAGGCCTACCTTCCTCCCAAACATGCACATATCACACCCAACCTCCATGTGCTCCCCTCCCTCTGAATGTATTGTCTGGAATTGCTTGTGGATCTTGCAGCTAGCTTAATCCCATCCTCAACAACTTCCCTATGTGGAAAATTATAGGTAATACTTCATTTTCTCTGTCTCCTTTCCTTCCTCTGATTACTTCTGGATCCCTCTGACTTATTAACTGAAGTACACTATGTTCAACAGGTGTAACTACTGGGAGGGTGCCAGGACTGGTTACTGGTATCAATGGTCAGTGTGGTATTTTTGCATGGAAATATATTGCTGTGCTGCTCTGATCATTTGCCTGTAATGATGATTCTCCTCAAAAAAACTCCTTCTCTCATCATTCCAACCCATTACAGCCTTCATTTTCCTTTCTAAAATTGCCCTGGAGCGCTATCACTTTGCAGTTCATTCTGATGTTATTTATTTATTTATTAAATTTGTATCCCACGCTTCCAACATGGGCTCAGGGTGGCGAACGTAGAGGCAAATGTCATACATAAAACAATAAAACAATAAACAATCATTACCTATAAAACAGTTAAAAGTCGGTGCTCAACAGACCATATCAATTCCATAATAAAATGCCAATAACAATAACACACTCCAAGTAAACACAATTGTCTCTGCTCAACTGATGTTACTCTATAACTGTCATCCCCATACCAGGGCCAGCGAGCCTCATGATGTTAATACAGTGGTGGTACAATGGCGGTGGCAGCCCCTACTCGAAAGCCTGGCGGAAGAGCTCCATCTTACAGACCCTGCGGAAATGTTAGTATTTATTCCCCTTATGCACTCAGGTCCTGTTCACATGACTGCATCACAGGTGTGGCAGGATATGCATAGTCCCTTCTAGACAGGATAGCATGAATCATATTCAGGGGAAAGACTGAAATCAAGCCCGCTGCTGCTTCTTCCCAAATAGATAATCAGCATCATATCTGAATGAAACGAAGAACACACAGCCCTAGCTGCTGGATTGGGCTAGGAGTGATTCACACAGCACATGATTGTGTCTGGGGCATGTGTATCCTCAATCAATCATGTATAGGTGTACAGAGGACATAGGTCTGTATCCAGTGGCATATGAGTAGAAAGTACTTAGTGCAGTTTCAGAGGGTAGTCGTGTTGGTCTGCAGCAGAACAGTTAGATTTGAGTCCAGTTGCACTTTAGAGACTAACAAGAGTTTCAGGCTATAAGCTTTCATTCACTTGCCACAGCAATACAGAATACTTCAGTATCTTTTTGACAACATAACAGTGTGCAAATGGAGCAATGGAATGTACAACAGACATTTCACATGGTTTAATTTACTTTTGAAATTTTAACAGCTCTGTTAAAGGTAATGGGGATACAATTAATTTCACTTAGTGCAAGCAGACAATGAAGAGTAATTATGGTGCTTTTACTTGCACAAAGACTGTTGTGTATGCCAGAGACTTTCAGTATCCTTCATTAGAACTGCAAATAGTTGTCATCAAGCGACAAATTAATACAAAAAATGTATAATTTCTTACTGGAAGATTTTGTGAAAGATGAGGATGTTAAAAAAGTAATGATCAATTGGGAGAAAGATATAGGGAAGATAGAATTGGATATGTGGCTGAGGATGTGGGAATCAGTTAAATATATGAGAGCCATATCATATAAAGAAAACGTGTATAAAATGTTCCATCGTTGGCATTGGGCGCCAGATAAAATAGCCAAATGTTACCCAGGTTATTCCTCGCAATGCTGGAAATGTAAGGCCAACATAGGCACTCTCTACCACATGTGGTGGACCTGTAATAAAGTCCAGGGCTTTTGGAAAATGGTGCAGACACTAATTCAAGAAATAATGGAGAAGAATCTAGCGTTAGAACCAGAAATATATCTATTGAACATGTTACCTAAGGACTATAGTCAGCTGGATAGATATTTGTTGGTATATATAATAACTGCCGCACGGCTGTTACTGGTCGAAAACTGGAAATCTGATATGATACCGTCAAGGGAAGAGTTAGGGAGGAAAGTGCTAGATTTAGCACAAATGGACAACCTGAGCCTGATGTTACAAAATAAGAATGAAAACGTATTTAATAAAAGATGGAATAGGGTATATGAATGGATGAGGAGGTTAAATGAATAAGACTCTCTAATATATGTTAACAAGGCTGGGAAAAGCAATTAATATAAAACCAAAGGTATGATTTGTAAATAACGTTTATGGACTGTAACTTATCATGTATAGGTGTACAGAGGACATAGTGCCACTGGCATTGCGAGCTTAAAAGTACTGATCTCAAAGCACAGAGTCACAGCAAATCCAAGCAAGGCTGCAAGCTCTGTGCAAGAAAATGGGAAGGGACCACAAAGGAAGCTGGCAAAGGGGGGGGGCCCCTCTTGAAACTGACAAGAGTGTTTCCAAGGCTGGAGAATTCCCTTACTTTGAAATCTGGTAAACATTTTGTTTGAGTGGAGACAGCCAGCCTGTATCCATTCACTAACCAGGATGAACCTCCATGAACTGCTTGAAAGTTCATGGAAAGTTTGTGCTAGTTGACCTGCCATGAACTTGAGTTCATGAACTGCAAATTGCCAAAAATTCATCACCAACTCTAGTTTGTGAGCCAGTTTGTGTTCATTCCTAGTCAGGAGAAAGGTAGTGTAATATAAAGGCAAGCATGAATCTATTCATATACCTTTGCTTTGGCATCTGCTTTATCATCAGCCTTTGCAGCCAGCAGCATGAGTCTCAGTACCAGGGTGATGCTCAAAGGGAACTGGCCTTTAAGTTCAGGTACATTGGATTTCATCAATTTTTGAACCTTGGGCAGAGGGATGCCGTAAAAATACACATTTCCTATCACATCTTGTCCACGTCTTCCAGCACGTCCAGACATCTTGAAATACATATATTTGGTTATACAAATCATGTAAGACACAGGGAGGGGAAAACAAACTTGACCTAATACCTGAAATTAAAAACTACAAGACTAAAAAAGAAGCCTGATTAAGGGCCAATATTAAAAACTTAAAGTATAATAATTATGTACAAAAATACACGTATTTATTAGAAAGACCATTAAAAAGATATATGGACCCAATGGAAGTCTTGTCACTTGTACTTTATACAAATCATGCTACTGAACTATCTACAGATACAAAATTATGAAAATTAATCATTTCTACTTAGCATTTCCTTTTCCCCCTTTTCCATAAGAAACAAAAGCATTTTAATAAAATTGATATCAGTCATACCTGCCTGTAGTTCAAAGCATCTAGATAGACAGAATCTTCCACAAAAACAACAGATTTACATGGCATATTAATGCCTAATGCCAGTGTTGAAGTTGCTGTAACAACCTAAGAAAATCAGCATGAGTGCCATTGTTATTTTTTATTAAAATAGTTATACCCTGCTTTTCCTTTTGGCTCAAGGCAGCTTACAGTAATAATTGAAACACTACCCCAAATACCCCCCCCCAAGTTGCCTGCTATTCATAGCCCATCAAAAAGCCCTTTAATGAAAATTAAAGAAATAATTTTTAAAGAGCTGTACTAAAAGCAATTTTTAAAGAAGTGCACATCTCTAATAGTGCCCTTCATTTTTAGTTTTATTTCATTTTGTTTTAAGTACCTTCCTTAGAGTGGGGCAAAACAGATTTTAAACTTCTAAATAAATGTAAATCGGAACCACCAATCTACCGTATATACTCGAGTATAAGCCGACTTTTTCAGCACATTTTTTGTGCTGAAAAAGCACCCCCTCGGCTTATACTCGAGTGAATACGGTAATATGAGTGGCTCTTGCTGAACAGACCCCAGAAAATGCCGCCGCTCCGCAGCCAGATATCAGCCTGTAGTCACTGCAGCCCGCCTGCCTAAACTGATCTAGTCACTGCAGCCCGCCCGCCTAAACTGGTTGCTAGATCGCCTCCCAACTGGCGTCTAGCAACCAGTGACGTAAGAGAGAGGAGAGCGGAGACTGACGTGCCAATAATAACAGCGGAATTAAAAGACCTCCTCCGCTCAGCAGAACACTAGAAGCCGCCGCTGCCCGCCCCGCCTCCACTGGTTGCTAGATCGCCTGCTTATAGAGCTAATTTACTGTTTCTCTTTGAAATAAATATTATGTGTTTTTAATGTAATTTTATTGGTATCTATTATTTCTGAAATTTACCAGTAGCTGCTGCATTTCGCATTTCCCACCCTAGGCTTATACTCGAGTCAATACTTTTTCCCAGTTTTTTGTGGTAAAATTAGGAGTCTCGGCTTATACTCGGGTCGGCTTATACTCGAGTATATACGGTATATGTCATTGTTATTTTATAAATAAAAAATTATACTTCTACTAAGCTAGCTATACTTTTTTTACCCTGGTCCAATTGCACATGACTGCATTGTTTACCTGAAATTATTTATCTGGGTTACATTCAGCTTTGTGACTTATTGAAGAATGTGCATCTTAAGTATAAATGAGGAAATTTTACTAACCTGAATATATCCCATTCTGAATAACATTTCCACAAATTGCCGTTGTTTGGATGACATAGAAGAATGATGGTATCCAATGCCCCTCTTTGCCAACATTGCTTGATTTGAACTTCTGCTCTCTCTCCGTAATCGAAAAAGTAACCTTCCCAAAGTCTAAAAAGGATTCAAAGTGAAATTAAAATCTCATTCTTTTAACTTGTTGCAATAATGACCTTCAGCTTCTCTGCATGTGGGTTTGTTACTCTATTTTTTCTTCTTCTTTTTACTTTTGGGCAGATGTACTAAAAAAGATGGTCTGTCTTTCACAAGGGGTGAGGGAGAGAAAGGGAGACATGAGGGCTGGCATCAGTCTCTTTGGTTGTATCCCCTGTGATGCTGCATCCTACCTTATAGAACATGCCAACAAGCAAAGTCTTTGACCCCTTCCCTGAAAATGACAGGCAGCAGGCTTAGAAAGGGGCAGGAACAAAGCTGATACTTCTACCTCTACCCTACCCTCATCCTGGCTTCTACCAACATTTATTTGCTTACTCCTACCATCTAAATAATGCAAGACAGAAGAAATGGCACAGACAAGAAGAATCTTTACTGATACAGAAAAAGAGTACTACCCAAGCCAATAAATCAGAAATCTGGCTGAGGAAGTGCTATGCACAGAAAGATTAACTCTCTGTACTGGCTTTTAACTCAGTGTTTTAACTCTACATTGGTTTTAACTTGCACATACGATGCCTGTGTCCTGAGCCTGTGCTGTTTTATTAGCTGCCTTGAGTTTGTGGACATTAGGCAGGGTATAAATATTTTAAACCAAACAAATAAATAAAAGGTTGCTGGAACCAATGTATGCACAGTGCAAACATGCCTTAAATTTAATCCTTTGTGGATTTACTCCAGTCTAGGCTCACTGAAGTCAATGGAGCAGGGCTGCCGAACCCCCGGTGAGGATGGGGATCCCCACCCCTAACGTTGTGCAGGGGACAGCAATCCAGGAGAATATTTTTTTAAAAGGCCTTATCTACTTACATGAAATTCTTACCATAGCTCTAGAAATCACTGGAAACTTTATGGTAAAACCAGAAATTCTAACCACACAGTTTTCAGCAATTTCCAGAGCTACCCATTATCACTTCCAGGCAGCTCCAAGAACCATCAGGAATTCTACAGTAAGACGTTCCTGTAAGTAGATGAGACCTTATTTTTCTTTTTAATTTTTCTCCTGGGACATGCCCCCCCCCCAACCCTTCAACCAGTTGCCAGGCATTGCCTGGCACTGCTGGGGAAGCCATGATGGAGTAACTGCACAGGATTGCAATGTAAGTGTTCTGGATGGAGGGCATGCTTGTCAGGAACTTATTTTCTTTTCTTTTTTTTTGCTTTCCTATGCCTTACCTACCTCTCACTGCAATAGGACACTGTTCCCTATAGCTATGTTTTCCTTCAGAAGGCTCATTGTTGCTGTAGCTGCCAACACAACACAATAATAATGTAGCTTTCAGAGGGTGGGTTTATACATATTTTGCCCTTCTCAGTCATTGTACTGGCTGTGTCTCTTGCCTGTGTGCCACAAGGGATGATCCCTCCCAGTAACTGACACGGTGATATACCATTCTAGTTTTATATTGATACTCCTTTGCCAGGAAAAAAACCTCAACAAATGTTGGGGAGGGTGGCCGCTGTGTGGACAGGGGCAGAGGAAATAACTGCTGTGTATGCTGTGCAAGGAAAACCTGAATTTTCCCACCCAAACAACAGCCATCTAGATACTGCTTTAATGTTTCTCAAAACTTCACAACAAATCTGATTTGGGAAAGATTAGAGAAAAGATGGGGGAAAGCCAGGAGGTGCACCAGAGTTGCCAAGCAGGAGACCTCTTGGCGGCAACCTGCTTTTCCTGCCACCACTCCTTTGGGTGATGAGATGGGGGGGGCCCCCGAATTAAATCAATAAAGTCATGCAGATTTTGATGTCACTTCCAAGAAAAACCCAGAAGTGACATCACATCTCTCTAGAAATTGCCAGTAAACTATCTAGTGTCTAGTGACTCCTAGAGAAATTTGATATCACTTTCCTGTTTCCCTCAGAAATGACTGTCAGGGCTTAGTGACAGATTAGGGCAAAACAAAACACAAAAAGTTTCTAGCTCTACTGGATATTAATCAAGAAATTAGTCTTACAGGGTAGGATACTTATGAGTTGAATTCAAAAAACAATAGATTTGGTTGTTGTAGCCAATGTAAGCCAAGCCCCCAAAACAAAATAACACCACAGAGGTATGATTAATAAGGTTTATTAAAACAAGTGTCCAAAAAGTGTACAATATAAGAGCAGTGCAAAGTAAAGAAAAAAATCTAAATAGCTAAAATACTCAGACAAGCTTTGTGGTCCTCTGACCATGATATTACCTGACTGAAACACAGAGTCCAGGTAACGTTTCAGAGCAGACCAAGCAAGGCCCAACCCAATCAAGAGATGTCCCAACGGTACGACAAACAGGTGGGTACAACCAAAATGTACAAATTAGAATGATGGAGAGCCAGTTTGGTGTAGTGATTAAGTGCGCGGACTCTAATCTGGGAGAACCAGGTTTGATTCCCCACTCCTCCACTTGCAGCTGCTGGATGACCTTGGGCAAGCCATAGTTCTGTCAGAGGTGTCCTTGAAAGGGCAGTTCTTGAAAGAGCTCTTTCAGCTCCACCTACCTCACAGGGTGTCTGTTGTGGGGAGGGGAAGGGAAAGGAGATTGTAAGCCACTCTGAGACACCGAGTGAAGGGTGGGGTATAAATCCAATCTCCTCTTCCTCCTCCTTCTTCCTGCACCACAGGACAAGCTGGCCAAGAGAGGATCACCTGGGACATTTGGAGTGGGGTGCCATCAATATGCAGATGACACCCAGCTCTACCTCTCATTTAAGGAGCGACCGGTAGCCAGAATCCTGGTCTTGGCCTCCTGCCTGGATGCAATGTTGGAATGACTAGGTAAGAGTTGGTTGAAGCTAAATCCATCTAATACAGAGATTATGTGGCTGGGGAAGTCCAGACCACTGGGGTGACCACCTCTACCAATCCTTGATGGGGTCGTCTTTCTACAGTTAACTCCATCAGGAATTTGTGACTATGATTTGATTTTTTACTCTCCATGGACAAACATGTCCTTTGTGACAAAGGCTGCTGTGAGACTGCACTTTTAAAAAGCTTAGAAGTGCTGTACAAACAGGTAAAGGACTGTGAAAGGTTAATTCTTCACAGAAACAGAGAGCCTTGTTAGACATGCTCCAGCAATTTGATTGGTTAGCATCAGCTGAGCAGAGGAAGTTTTGAGAGAGCTGCATGCTGAGGAGAGATTCAGTCAGATTTCTGCCTTGACTGAATTCAGTCTGATTTCAGCCCTAGCTGAAAAGAGTTGAGTACTGATAGTTTTAGAATTCAGCCCTGACTGAGAGCAGTTTAACACACACAGGAAAACTGGGGGAAGTTGGCAAGGACAAATGGATAGTTAGATGGAGACTCCCATTTGGGCTGAAGAAAGGTGATAGATCTTCTAGTGAGAGGAGAATTTCCCTACCCAGTCAAATAGGGAGTTAGCTCTGAAGAGTACAGAAATCCGTGGTCTGGTGTGGTTAGAAACTGCCTTTAGAGACCTTAAGAGTCAGTTAAAAACTCAAGATGAGTACTGGTGTTTCAAGAGAAGGGGTTTGGGTACTGGAAAGAATGTACCAGCCTTCTGGAAACCAAAAGAATCAGAGAATACTCAAAGAAAGTATACTGACGTGTTTGGGGAAAACACTGGAACAAAAGCCTCTCAACATAAAGATTTCAGTCACTGTGAAAAGCTTTAAAAACTCTCATTAGCCTAAAACATCAGAACTAAATGTCATCCCCTGATTTCACTTGACCTTTCCCCTCTGTTAAATAAATATTTTTATATTTTTGAATTTCTAAATGCCTCAAGTGCCATTTAAGTGGTTTAAATTAAAGTGCAATCCTGACCCTTCCCTCAGGTTCCCAAGCTGAGCCAACAGCCAAAATATCGTACTGTGAGAGGGTGGGATGGCCAGAGTTCTTCATCCAGAAGGAAAACACATTGCCTAGGGTGGCTCAGTCACAAAATGGAAAGAAAAACGGAGGGAAAACCTTGCCTCTGAGAGAGGTAAAACTGTGTTTTACCATCTACAACAAACCTGCCAGCTGACTCCCTCCCTGTCTTGGGAGGACTTTGCCATGGAAATTCACTCAACAGTCACCTCCTGACTAGACTATTGTAATGCTCTCTATCCAGGGCTACCTTTGAAGATGCTTTGGAAGCTGCAAGTGGTCCCGAACACAGCTGCCAGATTGCTGGCAGGAGTGTCCTGGTCAGTGCATATAACACCTAGTTTGGTGTAGTGGTTAAGTGCACAGACTCTAATCTGGGAGAACCGGGTTTGATTCCCCACTCCTCCACATGCAGCTGCTGGGGTGACCTTGGGCCAGTTACAGTTCTCTCAAAGCTGTTCTTGAAAAAGAGCAGTTTCTGTCAGAGCTCTCTCAGCCCCACCTACCTCACAGGTTCCCTTGCTCAATCTGGTGCTGTGCTAAAAGTATGCTTGTGAACATTTTCTTTTTACTAAATACTTTATAACTTTTTATGCTGGCAGTGGTTCTCTGTACCACATAGACCTTCACCATCTTGGGCACACTATTTTAAAAGCAGTGCCAGGGAAAGCAGGCAGTTGGCAAGTAACCAAGGGTGAACAAGGCAGTAAACTGTCCCCATGGTGACCACATACTGCATAGTGGGAGACACAGAAGCAAGGCCTCAGAACTTGGAAGGACAGCTGGGAGTCCTGACTCTCCCAGAGGGCAATTCTGTACAAAGGTCAGGTGGTGGTGGCTGGCTACCCAAGAGTGGAAGAAATCCCTCTCCAGATGTTGAGAAAAACCTAGGAGGGCAGGATGGAATAGGGCATGCAGGCCACAATTTGGCAGCACATTGGGATAAGGACAAACAGCGAACTTGATTGGCCAGGAATTGTGAATTTGGCACTCAAACTCACAGAGAGAGCAACTTAAGTTTGTTTGTTTTTTGGATCAACTGGAGTAGAGTCAGATCAGACTAGCTAGGATGGAATTAGTGGAGCAAGTGAGAATACTGAAGTTGCCAAAACAAGAACTGCAGGAAGAATGTCAGAGCAGGCACATTCTACCACAATATGCAAAAAGTGTGAAATCTTTGGGCCAGTTTTTGAAAACTTCCATCCTAGGCCTGTGGTGTTGAGAATGATGGTGAGTGGGTATTGGGGCAATGAAAAAGAGCAGTGGTGATAGTAAATCTCATTGGAAATCTCCTTGTTTGATATTAAATGTTCCAGTTTCTTCTCCGTTCACTATCAGCCTGGTGTTCCATTTACTCATGGTATTTTTGATAAATGCCTATCATTTATAATATTTTCAGGATCCATATATGAGGAAGTGAATCAAATGCTTTTTTTCAGGATTAATATTGTTGTTGTTGTTGTTGTTGTTAGTACTATTATTATTTTTTAGAAGATTGTTTTCTATGGGTATTCTGGTTTTACTTTCCTTTCAGTTTGCCAGGATTTTATTGAAGTTAACTTGTTTATTAAATTAATTCTATATTATATATTTATTAATATCATTTTATTCAAATTATTAATTTAAAATTGCTAAATTGAAGTTTTTAAATTTTAGCCGTTGCTGTTCTTATTTGTTGGAGGCGCTATTAACTGAAGGGTTGTGTCTTATATTGCTTTTATTTTTGTACACTGTATCAAGAAATCATTGAGGTGGCATATAAATAATAAGGAGGTTGTGTGTGTTTTTACATGCAAGAGCATATATGCATCATTTAAAAGTACAGAAGATGAATCTTGATTTAATCAAACATCACATTAATATTTTTTTTTGCAGTTTATGAGTGTGTATTGACAAAATAAAGAGGGAGAAAATGGAAATATACTGAAGGAATTATAGCTTTGACACATTACACATTATTTCCAAAAATTGTTTTAGAAATTGTCCTGGGGTGGTTTAACACTAGACATTTAGTTTGCAATCACCATTATTTGTTCATTCAGTTAACAGAAAATCCATAAGCAATAAAGTAAATATAAGCAGTGTCTTTTGCTGAACACAAAGTAAAAAATAGTAGTGTAGCAAAATAAATCAGAAGTCCAGTGGCATGTCAAAGATTAACAACATTTGTTTCAGCATAAGATTTCATGAATCAGAGCTAAATTCTTCAGATGCTAGTAAGAGGAATTCACATTCCACATTATTTTTATATGGGAAATTACAGAAGGGGAGAGGGAAGGGAGGAGCTGGGGGCTGAGAGAGGCTTGGTGTGCAACCCTTCTTAAATCTTTCAGGTGTGATTCTCTGGAATGGATTAGGGTACTACAGGTAATGAGTGATGAGAAAAGTCAGAGGCTCCAGCCTGTCTCTCATGGGGTACAGGTAAACAAAAGTGTAATTAACTAGGATAAACAACTAAATGAAGAAGCAGTCAGAAGCATAAGAAAATTAACTGGTATTGGGTTCAATATGATACAACATGGTAAGAAGATCCAATTAAGGTTTCTAAAAAATCAATCTTGTTGAGCCATAGAAATTATAGTGAGTAGGAAAATCCAAGCCAGAATGAGAGGTAGTGTTTAATTTCTTGATGAGCTCACTCAGCACTTTTGAGTTGCGTGTTCCCTTTGAAGATTTTTTTTTGGGGGGGGGCACAACAGTGACTTTCACTGTCCTTCATTGGGGGACTTCTGAGTAGACAAATCGTACGCCTGTGGGGATGGAGTTTTATGGGGAACAGCAAAATATTAAGTGTCATGTAGCAGCAGTGTTTCAATTCTGTTTCTAGCTGAAGGTGGAAAAGGTATCTTTCAGTAGCCCAAAAAGTTCATAGTATGGAACCAAAATGGAATTAAAGATTGCCAGTACAGTATGAAATTCCCAGAACAATAAGAAAGAAAATATGAGAAATCTAATCCCTGTTAGAGTAATTGAGATTACACAAATGGATTATAGAAACAGCTTGATCCTCATTATAATAACAAAGAGCCTTGAAGGTCCCCCAGTGTGGTTACTTACACACTAGGATCATCCATCTGAAAGCTGGGGAAATATTGGCATGAGCTATAACTCCTCACATGTTACTCTGAGGTTTCTTCATTACTACCACAGCATGGGAAAGAGCCATACTAAAGTAAAAAGTTACTTTAGGAAAGAACCCAAAGATATAAACACAAAACATTAACAGTGGTTTATTTACCTTTTCATCCATAGCTCTTTGGTTTGCATAGCTGCAGTCTGGAGGGACTTTGGTTAATTTTGAAAGCCTTTTCTTCAAGGCAGTATATTCAGTAAGAGTAGCAATAACATTTTCCACTTTAGATATTGTCTGCTTTTTTGGGTCACTACAGAAAACATACATTTCATTATATTTATTTATTTAAAATATTTTAATATTCTGCTTATGTACTCTAGCTCTGTGGATTGCATAAGTACCAAAACATAAATTAGAACATAAGTTTGTCATGCACAACCTTTTAATTGTTATTGAATTCTTCATTATTAGTTTATTTTGCCTTTTTAATAGTTTTAAATATGAATACAGTTATGCATTTACACATACCTTAAATCTCTATATTTGCCACTTATGGTGTCATATTCATGGTATTGTACTAAGTATGAAAATATGTTAGGGTTAAACAGACTACTGAAGTAAATTCAATTCAGTGAATAGAAATGACAAGATAGATGTGAAATGGGCCTTGTGTGTATACAGGTACACATATATTTCCTCCATCTGTTTTATCCTCCCCTCTTCTCTCTCCTGCTCTCTCATCCTCTGCCTCTTCTTCCCTGTCCCTTCTTTCCTTAGCTTTTCTTTGTACCATTATGTCTCAGCCTTTTCTCACTTCTTTCTTATCCATGCTATCATTCCAAAGGTCCATCTCTGTCTTTTTCTCCCTTCCCCCACATACTCTGTATCTTTGTTTCTTTCCTGCTTCTCTTTCTCTCACAGACATCCCTACATCTCCCCATCAGTGTAGGTATGGTAGTCTTAGGTTTGGATATTTTCAGGTCCAGAGGCATGGCAATAGAGTACATGTACTAACCTCATGCATTTAATGGCAGGAAAGTGACTAATTGGTAAACCTAATGGATTCAACCCTCCTTACAGAAGTGTGTCTTGGCTTGCCTCTGGAATTGTGCAAGATTATCAGAATTAAGGACTCCCATTGTATATGTGTGTGTAAAAGAGAAAGAAAGAATTCAAGGCTTCACTTTTTACCATAGACCACCCAACTCAGCTTAGAGGGAACACTGCTCCCATTGTATATGTGTGTGTAATAGAGAAAGAAAGAATTCAAAGCTTCACTTTTTACCATAGACCATAAACCATAACTTAGGATGCCATCTGTAGAAATATATACTCCTCAGAGGTTAAGAAACAACAAAACAGAAATGAGGCTCTGCCAACCCCAGGGAAATATCTCATAAAGCCTGGTCAAAACACCAAGCAAGGTTGTTGCTGGATTCCCAACCCCTGGGTCCCAGCAACCTGCAGAACAGAAGTTACAACGCCCAGTTCAGGCACTGGGTTGTTAGTCATTATTGTGCTGGTGGAAGATCTAATAGCCCTTTGTAAAGGCTACTTTGCTATCTGACAAATGATGTAATCTGGAAAACCCAGGTTCAAATTTCTGCTCTGCAGGATGATCTGGGGCCAATCACATACTCTCAGCCTAACCTATCTCACAGGGTTATTGTGAGGATAAAATGGTAGAGATGATAATGAGGTTAAGCTACTTTGGGTCCCCATTGAGGAGAAAAGTTGGAGATAAATAAAGTAAATAAACAAGCATGGACAGACAGGACAATTCTTTTATTACTATAGATTCATAGTAACAGCAAGCCAAGTGATTTGTTCATTTTGTTATGATATTTGATTTGGATCAGGGTCATGCGGGGGAGGGGGAGATGAAATCTCTGTCCAGGGACCTATGGTGGCTCTCGGCATTTGGATTTTCTCAAACCGAAACAATGCACATAATGTCCTGTTTCATTTCAGTTTAGGAATACCCAAAACTCTTCTGAAATTTCAGGATTAATGAAACTTTGTCTTTCAAAATTTGGGGAGTGTTTTGGGTTGTTTAGACTTACCAACTGGTGGAAAAAGGAGAACAGGCAGCCGGAGTCCCATGGTGGCAGCCAGTCTGGCAGCAGGCTCTTGCCCTCCTTTGCAGTTAACACACGCAATCAGGGACAAAGACAGAAAGCTCCTCATCTGAGCCACTGTGCTGCTACTTCTGCAGCCCTTTAAATTTCCACTGTTGTAAATGGGTGGTAAACCTGGCCTACCACTGAAAATAGATCTTCCAACAAAAATAGTGCCAGTAGACTTGGCATTCAAATGGAGGTCAGCTCAACCAGTACCTGAGATTCCCCAACCTGATAAAATTACCCAAAACGGACACCTGAAATTGTATGAATGTCCCCAAAATTCCGCAATAATGTCAATCATGCCATTTCTAAAATACCAAAATGAAATGTAAACATTTTTAAGTGCCACCCATATGTACCCTGTGGGCACCTGATTAGCGATTAAGGCATGCCGGTCCTAGTCTTCCACCCGTATCCCAGACTCTGTAAATATCTGGATATTGATCAGTAACTCTAAATCAACAGGACATAGCTCTAACGCTAACAACCTTTGCACAGCCACAGTACCTATGGGCATGTTGTAGAAGGTAGTTTGTTAATCAATGTTCCAATGTAATTCTTAAAGCAAATCCCCCGAAAGTTATTGTTCTCCTCTGGTTTTCTGAATGTGAACCCTGAACCCCAGCTATGTGAACTCTCAACCCCAGCACACGGATGGAGGGGAGGGGGGAAGCAGAATGGGCATATAATAAACTGCTGCTGCCTTGAGAGGCAGACTGATTTCTCTACCCTCAAGAGAGTTGTCTCGCGTGATTCTTCAGTACCCATTGCCATAATTATAGTTAGAGCAAAAACTGGCAGTTGTGCACCTTCATATCGCATATGGGGGTGGGAAGTGAGCAGGAGTTAAATTCTATAGCAACAGAAAAGGCTTAAATTAATCTTCCTTACATTATGCAGAAAAAAGAAGCAAAAGAGAGGCAGTGAAGACTGTAAGCAATTCATATCCTAAATTTTAGGCTTCATATGTGTATCAGAGGATGTAGTTTACAAAACAATGAAGCCACTACTCAATAGGTAGTAATTGTCTTTATGTGCAGTTTCATTTAATGCCTTTCCTCTAGTAAAATAATACTTACAGAGACATAATTATCTGTATCTTTTTCTTCATCTTACTTCGCTTATTTCTTAAACTTTCAATTTCTTTTTTAATTTTCGGATTCTGCTCACTGCTTTGTTTATTCTTTTTTTGCAAGTTGCAGAATACATTCCAAGCAGCTTGTTCTACTGTATGAATGTTAAACCTGAAAAGAAATAAAGTAAACATCCTATAACACAGATGGGTATTTAACAGTGCAATCCTAAGGGGGGGGAGTACTCAGGGAGTCAACTGACCTTTGCATCGGTGTATGTCCAAGATACACCAGTGTAAGGGCCAGTTATGATGGCACAGGCCCCCAGCACTGCGCCATCGCTCTCAGACACTGGTGGAGGCCCACAGAGGCCACCTGTTGGCACAATCAAGGTATGGGCCCCTGTGCCAGTGTGGTTGTAGGCAGTTTTGGGGGCATGACCAGAGTTAGTTGGCTCCCTGAGCCCTTTCAGCCTGGGAATGCCCCCTGCCATAGACAGAAAGTTACGCCAACAACAAACATGGCTTGGCCCATAGACACCAATTGAACTGAAAACTCAAGTTGTCCCCCCACTGCTGCAACCTTGCCAGTATGGCACGGAGGAGTTCAGGATGCCAACTACAGGCTCGGCCAATCACCTCCCTCACTGGTGTGGCCAAGCCTCCCCTTCCCAGCACCCAATCACACACCCCACCCTACAAAAACTTCAGCCTCATCTTACAACTCAGTAGTTAGGGTGCACAGCATGGGACACCATCTCAGAGCTCTCTGCCATGCAGACTTAGAGCAAGCAGCAAGATGCTTTGATGGTGGGAAAAGCACTTAGCATTAACACCCAAGGAAGACAGCAAAGTCCATACTCTGTGGCTGACCTCTCCCATTTCAGAACCCTAACAGGTACCCCACCTTTCGAGGCTCAACCCAAAGCGGCAACCACACACTGACAAGTAAGCAAGGGCAAAGATCCCAAACCTGCTCCCCCATTCCCTTTACTTGAGGCTGAGTGCAGTGACATCACCTCCTACACTCAATCCCAGCACTGAGTTTGTGCAGAGGCAGCAAAAGCCATGTCCACACAGCACCATGGACCCTGACATACCATGGGAAGAGATACCAGGAAAGTTTCCCTGCAAATCTTGGGGGGAGGGGATGCTGTCATTTGCCTGTTTCCCACCCTCAGCAGAGGTCAGGGCATGTCTGTGGTTTGGGAGGGGGTCTGGCAGCTGCTCCATTATATGTGGTGAACCAGCTTGCCACGTGACCCTTTAACTCGTTTCCTTGCAGAATCAGAGTCTCAAGCAGCAGCTGCAGGTGCTGCTGTGGATGTATTGCCAGCATGTACCTCAGGTGAGGTTATTAGTGAAGTCCCCCCCATGGGGCTGCATTTGCAGACCCTGACAGGACAACACGTCCATGGCTGAGCCTGGCATGGCACTTGCCATGGCTGGATGTATCTCTGTTTTACTTTCCTGCAGGTGAAGATTCAACAGAGAGCCTTGGGTGTGGCAAATCCTGCCTCCCCCCTGCTCAGTCTACTGTTCCCCTCAGTCTACTGAGCCCCCCTCTTGAAGTGGGGTGTAGCAGCCAGCCCTTCCAAGTTCTGCCTGCAGTGCCATCCCACCTAGACGCATGCCATGCTGGGGATCCTCAGTCCTCTTCTCTATGGCCCCAGGGAGGTACTGAATGGAGTCTTCACACCTCACTATGGTTTGCAGTTCAATAAAATCTGTGTTGTGCCACAACTGTGTCTCTGTCTATTTGGTTTTGTCTATATGACAGGAGGGGTAGGGTTAGGAGCTCCACACCCCTCCCTGCCCCACTCCCTCCCTCTGTGACTCCCCCTGAGGGCTGCCCAATGACACGTCTTTGAGGGAGGTCTCTCAGGTGCTTTGGGTGTCTGTGGATGGTCCTGCAGGTGCCACTGGTCATAGTCCTCTGCTAAACATAGCAGGGGCCCAGCAGTACCTCCAAAGCTGACTGAGCAGCAGGTTCCCTCCCTCACCTCACTGCTGTGCAAAGGGAGGAGGGGCCAGAGGGGGTCCTGTTGAATGAGCCAGGTTGGTGCACTGGTTAGAGTCTGAGACTAGATCAGAGGGGACCCAGATTGCAATCCTCACTTGTACCATGGACGCTTATTGGGTAGCCTTAGGCCAGTTGCACACGCTCAGCCTAACCAACCTCACAGGGTTGTTGGGAGCATAAAACAGAGGAGAGGGGAATGATGGAAGCCACTTGTGGTCTCCATGTGTCAGAGTCTAGGTGCAAGCCAATTCAGAGTCCAAAGTGAATGTAAAGATTCAGTCCAGAAGGTCAGTTAACAGAGAGCAGAGTCCAGTTCAGAGCATGGTCCAGAAAGCAAGGTCTAGCAGTCCAAGGTCATATACAAGAGCAAGCAGGTACAATATCCAAGTCCAAAGTCAGTCCAGATGTCACAGGAGTGGCACAGAGTCCACTGGGTGGTGACTTGTTCCTTCCACCCTGAGCAGTCTCCCTTGATTGGCTTTTATAGGCATCTGTTGCAAGGTCTTACTTGCAGCCAACTATTTGGGAGTATCCCTGCAGCTACTCATAATCAGCAAGCAGCTGGGATCAGGCCATGAGACGTGTGTTTTGTCTTCTCTCCTGGTGCTCCATTCTAAATTCCATATATCTCCCCCCATGACCTGGCGATAGTGATCCATGCAATGGTCTCTTCCAGGTTAGATTATTGTAACTCACTCTACGTGGGCCTGCCCTTGAGTCTGACCCGGAAGCTTCAGCAGATACAAAATGCAATGGTGCTCCTGCTGACTGGGATGTGTGAGCAGATGCACATTCGGCCAGTGGTGTGCTAACTGCGGTTGCCCATTGAGTACCAGATCAGATTCAAGGTGATGGTACTAACCTTTAAGGCCCTATGCAGCCAGGGACCAAGATACCTATGGGACCATCTTTCTCCGTATGTGCCCTGAAGAGCCTTGTACTCTTCTGAGCAGCACTGCTTGGTAGTCCCCAGCCCAAAGGACATCTGCCTTGCCTTGACCAGGGCTTCTTGCCTGGTGGAGCCCCCCCCCCCCCCCCGGCTGAGATTAGGGCCTTGAGGAATTTATTACAATTCCACATGGCCTGCAAAATGGAGCTGTTCCACCAGGCTTTTGGGTGAGGTGGCAGATCTCCACAGGTCACTGGCCTTCCCTGCTTCGTCTGCTCAATCTGCCTCAATTGTATTGCCTATACCAACTTGGCACCAGAGAAATATGCCGCCCTGGCATTGTTCCAGCATGTATTGCAGTCAGATATTATTAAACTGCCAGCAGGTATTAACTTAAGTGCTAAAAAGGTGTGGGTGACACTGTAGGGCTGGTAATAACCACCTGGGTTTCATCTGTTGGAACAGGACTGGAAGATGCTAGTGGCTCTGCATCAGCTGTCAGCTATGAACTCTCACAAGCCTGCAGTTCATCTTCTTGCTTGCCCTCTGACAAGCCTGTGATTCATCTTCTGCAGCTTCAGAGCTGGCTACACAGGACTCCTCTTCCCCTGAGGAGTCCTCTCTTCTGGGAAGTCCTTCTCTCCTGACTGACCCACGACAACATGGGGGAGAAAGTTGGGAACTGAATAGAGTGAATGAATGAAGGTCTTACCTGTGTGTCCACCATATGCATTTATGGATGTCTGTTGCTTCCTGGTGGATGCGCTTTCCAGCAGCCCAGCTACGTAGCTGAAGGCACTCTTGAACTATATCTTTTACCATATGATAGAAAGTCAGATATTGGGAAAGGTGTGCTCATATCTTCTCTCATTCCTTTCTCTTCTCCAAGCTAAATGTACCCTGTTCAGTCAATTTTTTTCTTGTAGGAATGTTTTCCAGTCCCCCCTCCCATCACTTTTGTTGCTCTCCTCTCAACCCATTCTAGTTTGTCTACATATTTCTTAAAGTGCTGCACCCAGCGTGAGACATAACTTTCCAGATGACATCTGACTAGCACGGAGCAGAGTGGGACTAAAAGAGAAATCACTGAGTCATTCTAATAAAATACATCTTCCTTTAATTTACTTACATGAAAAATATGGCAGGCAATTTGTCCATTGCATTCAGTTTGTCTACCAAGAGTGGAAATCTCATGTACTTCTCATGTTCCGAAGAATCAGTAGGAGACGGTTTAAGGGATTCCAGAACATGGTTCAGCTAGATGAATAAATCTTTGTCATGTTACCATTTTATGTTTCACTATGTTCCAAGAAAATTCCACATTTCTTGTTTAAGGTTATTCATACTACTTCATGTTAGGATCCAGTAAATGTTATGATATGCAGACGTAATATGACTGAACATAAAAGCATCAAGCTACAGCAATGCAGTCTTGGCTCCACTTTATTTGGAACGAGGAATAAGGCCCGTTCTGGAAATAATACAACGAGCTCTAGAAAGAGGCTCTGGGAGAGTGCCAAGGCCTTGGACACTCACCGTCAATGTGCTGTGGTGACCTCAGCAGGGTATAATGACACAGAGTCCACCATTTTCTCCAGAGGAACTGATCTCTGCTACCTGAATAGCAATTGTAATTTTCAGAGATCTCCAGCCCTCACCTGGAGATTGGCAACAATTGTTAGCCAGAAAGAAATGGCTGGTTTGGAGAGTGGAGTCTATGGCATTGTACCTGTCTGAGGTCCCACCCTTCCTCGAACTTCACCCTCTCCAGGCTTCACCCCTCAAATCTCCATGAATTTCTCAACATGGAGTTGGCAACCCTATCTCCTTCCCAGCCAAGCATCAACCTGCCATTATCTGCCCCTCTAGTTT